GGTGTTGGTCAGCCTGTAAGCTTACTCTTGTAGGTGCCCTAAGCTTTGGATGCTTGGGTGACATCGGTAGGCGACAGGATTGGACGAGGGGGAGAGCGTGGCGGTGAGAACAAGAGGGGCAGAAGTACGTGAGTTGGTGAAAGCAATGGCGCGAGATGAGTGGTTGAGTGGGGGAGGCAGTGCCATACGCATGTCTCATGTTTCTGCCTCACAGAGAGCCAGTGAGAGGACGGAAAGCACGATGCGATGCCTGTCTGCCTTCTTCCCTCGTGTCTGTGCTGTTTTTAGTGCTCACTGACTGGTGGTGAGCTTCAGGGAGCGAGCGAGCGACTAAGTGGAGTCTGCTTTGTCAGTCTGTGTGTGGACGGAAAGGAGAGGGGACAGGCGAACAGTCTAGCTTCGCGGTGGCGCACACTGCACTCATTCGTCAGCAGTGTGGCCGTCGGTAGTTTGGCTTTTTGTAGTCGAATGATTGATGCATGATTATGGTTGCATACAGTTTGTCTGCCTGCTTTTGCCTTTCAGAATGCCTTTTTTCTTCTCTCTGCCTGTCTGCTGTTTTTGGTGAGAGCATTTTTCGCTCACTGACTGGTGTATGAGCGTGAGTGGGGCTGTTCTGTTAGTGTTATGTGGATGGAAGGGAGAGGGAGAGGCGAAGACAGTCGCCCTACAATGCTGTTTTTCGTCGGGGTTTGTATGTCTGAATGTACTGCAGTATCGGGCCATTCGTTAGTTATTGATGGCCGCCCTCGTGTTTGATGGATCGCCATCAACGTCAGCCAAACTGAGTCTTTCGTAGTGGTGCTGGTGTGTTTGCTTCCACGCACGGTGATTCCTCTGGGTGATTGACGTTCGCAGACAGGCGTGGTCCATAAATACGAACATCTCCACTAGCACAGATACGAATTATTCTTATTCATTAACTATGAAGATATCAATGCAATGAATTCATAATCTACATCAACTTATCACATAATCCACATTCACTTATCGCAAAACACACTATACGTTGTATCATTATCTTCACAATTTGCGTTGTTCGCTTTAGAGCTGGAAGTCGGGACAGGGAATAGTTTCACATTCTTTTGAGTGAAATTATCAGCAGTGGTTCAATTCTTTGACATTGTCTATCGATGCGTATGGAAGTATAGGATCACCTTATCATTAGTAATTGCTTGTGCTTGACAACAAGCAATAACATCTTGCATGGCTTGACTAGGAGTCTGGAGGTTCCGCTAGAAAAGGAAAGCAGGCACAACATGAAAAGGTTCAGAACACTGCAAACAAACAAGAACCCTATTTTCTTCCTGTTGCTCGACATTTGCTGGTAATGAGGTCGAACGCTTGTTGGTTACATGACCGAAAAATGTCACAAGCTCAAGACGATGCTTCAGACGTACGCTTGATGCAACAAGTCTTGAGAGATCGTACAACTAGATCTGTGTATGTTGCCCGATCGCACACGAAACGAAATCGCAATGAGGGGCCACTGAAAGGCACGAAGCCAGGAATCACTCGCCTTACCTATGACATTTACTGGGCATATCAATTACTTATGACATATATGTATACTGAGCATATCAAATTGAAAAAGACACAGAACAAATGACCCCACATATTCACCCGCCGTGAGGGCAAACAACTCTCACTGTCTGAACCAAAGCCAGGGAGACATCTATCCACTTGTCCATGTCAAGGTATGGTGCGCTGAAGGAGACACATTTAACATTTTACGCTGTGCAGAGCTCCGTTGAACCTGCAAGGAACGGCGACTAATTTTTCAGCATCCGAAAGGAGCTTTTTACCGCAGCAGTGAAAGCATGATGAAAAACCAAGCGTTTCTAGCAGTGAGTAACAGAAAAAGCAGAACGAAATCCTAAACGCCACCTCTGACATGGACTGTTCAGCAGTCTATTCTAGATTTTGCAAAACTCCGTTGAACCTGAAAGAAACGATAATTCTCAAAGTATCCGAGGGAAGTCTTCTTACCGTAGCAGTGAAAGCAGAATGAAAGCCTAAATGCCACCTCTGACTTGGGCTGTTCAGCAGTCCATTTCACGCCCTGCAGGCTCCGAAGTTTTTCACCATAGCAGTGAAGCAGTATGAAAGGTCCAATGCGTCTTTTTTTCCAAGCTTTCGTTGCTATGGTGAACACGGTACGAAGACTTCTCTCGGATTCTTTGGAGTGGACGGCTGTACAGGCTCCCTGAGACACGGCTTTTCAAGCTTTCATTCTGCTATGGTCAATACAGTAAGAACCTTTTTAAAAGCATCGCATCTTTTTGGTCAAATGGAGCTTTGCAGAGGCGCTGAAGAGGAAGCCTCAGACACGGCATTTCAAGTACATTGTATCTTGGGAGTCCAATGGACCTTTGCAGAGTCTACAATGGAGCGCTGAACAGGCTTCGCCAGGTACGCTTTTACATACACCATCCAATTACAAGCGTGCGCAGGCATGCGCACAAACAAGGACGTTGATTAGATACACTATGCCATTACAAGCGTGCGCAGGTTTGCGCACAAAGGCTCAACCGTGTGCAGGCATGCGCATACATAACGCCATTCATTTCAAGCGTGTACAGGCATGCGCACAAACAAAGACGTTGATTAGGTACACCGTCATCCCATTACAAGCGTGCGCACGCATGCGCACAAACAAAGACGTTGATTAGGTACACCGTCATCCCATTACAAGCGTGCGCACGCATGCGCATGAACAAAACATTGATTACAGACATTTATCACATACTCCATCCAATTACAAGCCTGCGCAGGTATGCGTACAAACAAAGACATTCATTAGATACACCATCCAATTACAGGCATGCGCGGGCGTGTACACAGACAAAGACATTCATTAGATACACCATCCAATTTCCCACCCATAAGAGACGGCCATTCACCTAATCATGGTGTTAGATATGCATACTCAACATCCATTCGTTCACCTATGCATTCGTTGCAGCTAAATCAGACCTGCACAATATGCTCAGCTTGGAGGTATTCGAGGGAAGTGCTCTTTACGCTAAAAAGGACTTCTCTAGGATTCTTCGAAAATCATTGTATCTTGCAGATTAATGGGGCTAGCCTTTCAGAGTTTGGAATGGACGGTCGAACAGGCTGCTTCAGACACTGGTCTTCAAGGTTTTATTCTGCCGTCACAACTACGGGCGAAAGACTTTCTCGGATGCCGAAAGAATGCATCGGAGAGACTAGTCTTTCCAAAGATTCCTCTGGGAATGCACCAAGAGAAGTCTTTCTACTTTTCTCGGATGATCCGAGAGAAGTCCATTTTCAGTGTCAGTGATGGCAGAATAAAAGCTTGAAGAAAGTCTGTGACGCAGGCTGTTTAGCAGTCTATTGAAACTGGAATCAATATTTGAAAGATTTCTTTGGCTGAGATCCGTATACTGAACGGTTTTATCATATGCGATCTTTGCACGAGTGCCGCCTCCATGCATCGAACTCCCAAGTCCAGCGAAAGTTCCAAGCAGATTGACAACAGCGTCTGTTTCTGCTTCACTAAAAGGTCAACCATGTGTTGATGTCACGTAATCAAAGGTTGCGGATAAGATAGATTGATAATGCCGTGATTCAAAGCATCCCTATTCCATCCATCCCTGTTACTCACTTGGGACAAATCACTTAGAAAACCATAAGCAAAATGCTTCCCAATCGCACAACACACAGCGAGCCACTCAACAACGTGCGACATTCACCAAAAAACAATCATTTGCATTATCCATACAGCACCATTAGCAGCATCGACATCATGTAGGGCTCTGGCAGCGGCTGCATAAGCAAGGTTTCCGGCAGTATTGGCATCATGAGTCGCGTAACTAGCATTCCTAGTGGCAGTACTGGTATTCTCTCTGGCTGTATTTGTAGCAGTGGCATTGGGGATTTTTGACCTCTACTGCTTCAGGAAGGCGTCCTTCTTTCGAACGCAACAAAGATTTTCTGGAACCATCTGCATCTCTACTTAATAATGCTCTCTTTCTCTCAGTGTATTTCTTCTGTGGTGAAGAAATCATGCTTGACCTTAAGTCAGTACCTATTGTTCAGTTAGTGCCTATTGTTCATCATACTCATAACCTGCGCGTACTCACTATCCGTTCGTCCGTTTATACATTGGTGCAGGGCTACACATCTTATTCTATCGCCGCAGAGGAAAAAACCAATACAGACCATGACAGAGATGTCAGAAATGAGTAAGATGGCGGACCTCGAGATGAATTTGATGGAAGAGTCAGAAGGAACGGATGATGCCAGGAGTGGTGTGAGTGGCTGGCGTGTGTCTGTCTCGTAATGAACAATAGGCACTGACTGAAGGTCAAGCACGATCTCTTCGCCATGAAAAACACTAAAAGAAATAGAGCATTATTAAGTAGAGATGCAGATGGTTCCATAAAATCTTTGCTTCATTCGGAAGAAGGACGCCTTCTTGAAGCAGCAGAGGTCAAGAACTTTCACGTCTTCAGTCCTTGAAAAATTGAACAGATGCCTGTCTCTCTCTTCTCTCTTTGCTTGTGTGCTTTCTCTGATGAATGAATAAGAGAGGGTGCTATATATGCTCCATTGAGCCTCCAAGATGTGGTAATTTTGGAAGAATCCGAGAACAGTCTTTTTCCCGTGTTAGTGATGGCAGAACAAGAGCTTGGATGCCAGCATCTTACGAGGCGCCTCTTCAGCGGACCACTGCATGCTCTGAAAAGCTCCGTAAGCTTCGTTAAAGTCTTCTTACTGAACTCCATCGAACCTGCAAGATACAAAATAATAAATAGTTTTGGAAGAATCCGAGAGAGGTCTTTTACTGTATTAGTGAGAGCAGAGTAGAAGTTTGGAAAGATGTATCTGACGCAGCCTGTTCAGCGCTCGATTCCAGGCTCAGCAAAGCTCCATTGAAGCTACATCGCTAGCACCTCGAGGAACATCTCCTGCTCTCCATCGTCAGCCCAGCAGCGCCACATGGGGCCGCTCTCCAGCGAGCCGCCGGGGAGGGCAGCTGCAGCTCGGGTAGGGAAGGCGGCTGTCAGCGCCATACGCCGACAAAGGGTGGCGATGAGTCGGAATGAGTCGAGGGGCGTGGTGGAGATGTCGGCGTCGCTTCACCTGCAGAAGCGGTTGTATATGGTGGACTCCTTGCCCATCCTTTGGAGAGTGGAGGGTCGTGTGGACACACGACGACCCAACACCCGCACCGATACGACCTCTTCACCTGAAGGTAGACACACATGCAGTCCCACACACCGGAATACAGACAATCATACACGTGCCCCATACGAGCTGACGATATATCCATCTCATTTACTTGCCTTGGCCGTCGTCTTTGCGTTTCAGGAACGGCGACATGACTGCCACTCGCCGCTTGGTGGTCTCCCGCAGATGCTCCAGCCGCTCAGTGAGAGCCTCCAGACGCCGCTGGAAGCCAGCCAGCCTCTCCAGGGCATCACTGAGCGCACTCGGAGCTCTCTCAGCAGCCGCGTCGCTCTCCTGTGCCACATCCATGACGACCATTGAGCCATCATCATCCCTCACAGGCGCGTCAAGGGCTATCGGCTGCATCGGCAGCTTGAACACAAACACCACTGAGGGGTCGTCTTCATGCTGCTTCGGCACATCCAGCTGAGGTGCCTCAGTTATGGTCGGGGCGACGTGCTGGCTGCCCTTGCAGTGGTGCCAGCGTTGTCTGACGAGCTCGTTGATGAAGATCTCGACTGCAGGTGGATGGAGGTCGAGAAAGGTGCGGCCGTCACTGTCACGAAGTAGAGCATCATGCCAGCGGCCTACAATGCACCTAAATGATATGACACGTCCACAGACCAAAACCAATTGGATGTTCATCTGCTTTAGTGTTGCCTCTCTTACTTGTAGAATATTTCCGCGGCTAGCGTGCCCTTGAGCGAACGGAAGTACCTCCGCGGCACGACAAAGGCCTCCCCGCCAGCATTGATGTGCACACTCTCATCTCCGCAATCAGCCGCCTCGTCAATCGCCCACCTCCCCCCTCTGCTTTGGATCAGACCTCTGACCTCACTTTCCACTCCCTCTATGGCCGCTCGGTAGCCATCGAGCGCTCTCGATGCTTCGTCAAAGATCTCTCGCTCAGACATGGTATATAGGGCAAACGAAAAGAGACGTCGAGGGAGGCTTTTGCATTCCAGCACCCTGTGTGCCTTCCACGACGAGCGGTTTCATGGAATGTCCTAGGCGGCCTGATGGCCAAGTCCCATGTCTTTCACGCACAATCAAACGAACGACACGCAAGAGGAATCACCCACGCACGCTCCACATGCATTTGTGCCTTCCACGTTTGCGAGCTTAGCCTCCCCTGCGAGCTCAGATGAAGCGCGGGCAGGAGAACGAACCTGATCTCTCGCCTTGCTCTCCAAGATCTGCTCTTGTCTTCGCGGAGAGCGTGGGATGGATCAATGGTGGCCCAAGCTTGCGCGTGTTCTCGTCACTGAATGCTTCTGCGGCTTCCTCGCACTCCTACTCCCACTCCCCCTCGCATTCATCTGCATCCCATCGCCCGAGAGCATATCACAGCACGATGCAGCCCAACCCATCCGGACTCGACTTGCAAGCCATCCAGTACCCTCCCGCCGATCCGGAGGGCCGAGCCGCGGCGGAACCCCCGAGAGGGATATACAGCGCGGCGCAGTCCAACCCAGCTGGTGAGAGGTGGCGAAAGACACTACCAAAGATTGCGTAAGGACTATCTGTCTTCTCAGTCATTGGAAGTCGTCTCCCGATGGATGCCGAAGCAGGGGATGAGGAAGCCGAACGACGCGCACTGGTTATTGTTCCCGGATTCTGTGAACCACCAGAAGGACGCGCGTGGGGGAGCAGAACACGCAGAGCGAGGATGGGCGCGCAGCTCGACGAAGTGGTGAAAGCGATTAAGGCAAAAAAAGACGGCCAAGTTGAAGGCGGCGTGCAAGTGGCTTCCCTGTGCGACGTCAATGGCTCGATGTGCGCGCGTCTCAGCAATGTGCCATCAATCGGCCCCCTTCGACCATTCACCGTTGACGCTTATGAGGTGTACTGGCACGACCTGATTGACGAGCTGGACAGCCAAGAGTTGCCCGAGCGCATCGGGCGTACCGTGTTACTGTTTTTCTACTGGCTATCGCCCTCCATCTACCGCCCCCCTCTACCAGTCAGCTTGCGTATCAGCCTTTTCGTCGCCGTGGCCAGCTGTCTTATCTGGTTGTACGCCCTCCTCCCATCATTGTTGATCTTCATCGCCAACACAAGTGGAGTGCCCGAAGATGAGAAGACGGGAGCGGTTGATAAGAAATTCTTCATCGAGATGGCCTGGGCTGGGAGAAGGATGGGCAGCTGGATTCCCCGCGGTATTATCGTGCTACTCAAGCTTGCCCTGCCCGCGACTCTCGTTATGAATATAGCAGATTTCTGCCGCCGCTACATCCGAAACGAGCCTGCAGGCAGCGGGGTGCGAGATGCAATTGCTGGACGCGTTAGGGACAGAGTGCGGTACCTGCGGGACTGTGGCTATCAGCAAATCACTGTTGTGGGATACTCGTTTGGTGCCGCTGCTGCAGTCAACGGACTTGCCAGTTATATCAGCGACCAGCAGCGGCAGCAGCAAGCGGCCCGGCCTTCCGCACTAGCAGAAGCGACGACGACACTCCCAACAGGAGGTGCTAACCCTGCCCCACAAGACGAAATCACTATCCGCCTCGTGACGATCGCTGGCCCCCTCGACGTGTTCAAGCGACAATCTAGCGAAATCATGGAGAAGGACATCGACGTTTGCTATGAAAGTGACAAGATAGCCCGATGGTTCGACTTCTGGTCGAAGGCTGACTGGATGTGCTATATGACGCCATTTCCAAAGAGCCTTCCGGGCTATCGGGAGCAGCCTGAGGTGGACCAGCCGGACATGAAGTGGTATCAGAGGGTGGTATTTTTGCCTCATAGGCGATACTGGGACAAACAGGAGGTCATAGATGAAATAGTGAGATTTGACTCTTGACACAGGTCGAATGCATGGAGAGGCTGCCTGTCTGGCTGCATGTACATACATTTGTGTGTGTATGTGTGGCAGTCACGTTGTTCATCATTGTGGTGGGCGTCTTTTTCATCGACTCGCGCCTGTGTCTATGCAGTTCGTGAGAGGAGCCAGCTCTCGTGAGCCGTCAATGCTGTTTTTCGTCTCTTTTTCGATTGTGCGTGCGGCCTATTTTTCGTTTGCCTGAAGTGAAGTACGCTTGCCAGATTCGTCATTGTACTACATTATAGGACCTGCATATGATCTGTCTGCCTCGTGTGCGTGCGCGTGTGCGTGTGCATATGTGTGTGTGTGTGTGTGTGTGTACGTGTGTATACAGTCGGACACTGTGCAAATGCAATTTACGATTGGTGTCCCAACGATAGAGGACCTTCAGTCGTAACGAATACTGACGAACTCATGCACATGTTAATGTCTGCACGTGCCACTAATTGCGAAGTCGATGCACACACACAATTACATGGTGTGTGGATGTCCATGGATTGACGTGTGTGGATGTGTGATATATGTTTGAATGCGACATAATGAGAACTCAGGCACGCGTATCACCATAGTACATATCACCAGTCAGTATGCACACTCGCTTGCCATAAATTGTTTTTACACACATGTGTGCTGGCGAAACACGCCTGCATAATAGACTATCATTAACAGTTGCACATTCGCTTGCCATGCTTTGTTTGACGCACTCATACTATACAGGGAAGTGTCCATTTGGTCATACATACACGGCACTCCGTTGCCATGCATTGTATTGACACGCACACATATTATGCATACAGCGAAGTGTTCACAGCATGGAGATACCAACCAACCGAACCTCATGCACGGCACTCTACGTCCATACACACACACATACACTCCTTCAATGTGTCCCCGCATTATCGCACATCGACTCTGAGGACGCCCAAGGCCTCCCCCGCACACGTGACCACCATCCTCCCACCACACATGCTGCCACCCAGAGGGCCGCGCACACCAAGGCTGCTCGGTGACGAAGGGTGGACGGATGGCACGTGAGGCGAAGTCTGTTGGTCGGTGATGGCCATGGGCGGGGGGCTCTCACGCCGTCTGCGTGGCGACGAGGGGAGGACCGTCCCGCACTTGAGCGTGCTGGCCACCTGGAGGTCGCTGCCCACATTTATAATGAATGTCTCTGTGCGCACACCTGCGCATGCACGTGTGGACTTGGAGTGTGTTCTTTATAATGAATGTTTCTGTCCGTAGACCTGCACATGCACGTGTGGACTTGGAGTGTGTTTTTATAATGAATGTCTCTGTGCGCACACCTGCACGTGTGGATTTGGAGTGTGTTCTTTACAATGAATGTTTCTGTCCGTAGACCTGCGCATGCACGTGTGAACTTGGAGTGCGTATACGTGATGAATGACTATGTGCACACTGTGCATGCACGTGTGGACTTGGAGAGTGTGTGTATATACTGAATGGGTCTGTGCGCACACCTGCGGTCTGTGCGCACACCTGCGCATACACATGTGGACTTGAAGAGTGTGTGTGTATATACTGAATGTCTCTGTGCGCACACCTGCGCAAGACCTGGAATATGTGCATGTGATGAATGGCTCTGTGCGCACACCTGCGCATACACGTGTGGACTTGGAGTGTGTGTGTATACTGAATGGCTCTGTGCGCACACCTGCGCATACACGTGTGGACTTGTTTGCATCCCGTGTAGCGATGGAACCACGCGCGAATTCTGCGTTCTTACAATCGAAGACGACTTTCAACTCGCGCGTGCAACTAGCTTCTGTATGTGTGGGGGAGGGAGGTCTTATGGGGGGGTGGGGTGTGAGGATGGGGCGGGGATGGATCCATCTTCCTCTGAGATCTGGTTTATCGTAGATACATGAACGGGCGACGAAGTTCGTCTAAGCATCAGTCGTATCAAACAAGGAAAAGGGAACGATACATGCAAAAAACAATGGACAAACGCTCGTTGACTGCGAAAACATGTCGCACATTGCAAACAAGCGCGAGACATGCAACACGACACACACATTCACGAAATCCAGGTCTAGCCAGCCACCTCACAGCCCCGGAGCGGGACTGGTGTGTGGCCTGTAAGGCCCGCGGCTGACGAAGTCCTCCGGAAACGCGCTGGCCCTCCGTGGCCCTCTGGCGGCCGCCGCACGCTGTGCACGACTCGCCACTTGAAACGCGTTGTGCTCACACACATAGATCCGTACACATCCATACATATGGATCAGCCATGTGTGTGCATGCGCATACCTCTACTTTGAGATTGCGACTGCTGGTCGTTTCGTCGTCATCGCTCTCATCGATGTCTATGTGAATGATGACAGTGGAGAGTGATCTTTTCAAGCGTGCATAAGAGGGAGGAAGCAGTCAGATCAGTCAGTTGGGAATGTGTGTGAGGGATGCATGTACAGCGAGTCGGTCTGCTTGCGAAGGTGCCTTTTGCCAGTGCAGATGGCTCTCTTCCCTCATGCATTGGCCACAATAGTGCCACATGCCTGCTACGTTGTGTGTGCATGGAACTCCGGTGGGGAGCTTCATGTATGGACTCGAGATTTTGTGAGGCTGTATGACCACTTGCGTTACACGTAAATCGCTCCCCCCGGTAGTATTGTGCGTAATCTGTAGGTCGTCCTCCCTCCCCCCAGTTCGGCGCACTGCTCGCTCTTACTCTCTATACAAGCCGTCACGCTGCAAATCCAAGGATCTTCGCGCATCTCACTCACACTTCCGCTCCCCCCCTCTCACTCATCAGCTGCCACATTTGGCCAGACAGAATGGCAGCGGCTTTCCGTCTGCGCGTGTGTGGATTGTGTGCTTGGCGGTGGTGACGTCCCAATGGTATCTGGGTATCGCTGCTTCCCCCCGGATGGTTCTGAGGGCACCTCACCAGATGATGGCAACAGCAACGACGCAGACAGAGAAAGAGAAGCCTAGAAGATTCAAGTTCATCCCCCGCCACGATGTCGTGAGGTCGCTACTGTCGCTGTCCACCCTGGTGTATTCTTACGGAGACACGTGGTCGCTCCCGGATAAGACTGTCCCACAAGATAAGCCTTATGCCAAGAACATCGACCTCAAGAAGGATGTTCCCGAAGAGGACCGCGAGAAGTATGAAATCAAGCAGTCGGTGGACTGGCTAGATAAGGTTGCGCCTCGAGGCAAAGTCGCGAGTTTCGTCAACGTCAACAGGACTGACCTACAGGCAGCCGTCACGTCCAGCGCGACGAGAGGAGCAGTGGCGGTCGTCTTCAGAGGGTCAGAGAGCGCCAAAGATTGGCTCTACGACATCTGGTCAGTGGGAGATGAGAGGCAGGGCATACGGGACGGGACGGGAAGAAGGAAACTTGAGCACGACTGACCCTATAGGTGTATTCCATTGCCTCCTCCCCTTTCGTTTATTCAGGATTAGAAAGCGGCAACTCAGTCAGCCGGGTGTGTGGGTCCATGACGGCTTCTATGAGCAGCTCTGGGGTGATGGTGCCTACGTGAAACTCCGCAAGGCCCTTCGAAAAGAGCTGACTCGTTTGGATCGTCTCCCATTCCGCAAGATCTATGTGACAGGCCATAGCTTGGGGGGTGCTTTATGTACCCTCTGTGGATATCACCTGGCGATTGACATGCCCGACCGCGATATTATCGTCGTCTCATTCGCAGCTCCTCGAGTTGGCAACTCGAAGTTCAAAGAGGCCTGCAAGGGCCTGAAGAACCTTCACCAGCTTCGCATGGTTAACCACGGAGATATCGTCACGACCATCCCCTGGTTTGCATACCAGCACGTCGGTGACGCTATCAAGCAGTACGACAGCGATGTGAAGTTTTTGCATGAGGACAAAGGTTGGAACAAGTTCTGGGAGTTCAACATGTTCAACCGCCCGCTGGCTATTCCGTTCACATACCACGGGACAAAGGTGTATTGGGAGAGGTTTCTCGCGAACAGAAGAAAGTGGCCGAGCAAAAGATAGGGCGGGTGCTGCATGGGGGTTAGGTAGAGGGATGGGATACTTGGCATTGACTGACACATCACACCACTTCTGTCTGAGAAGGAGCCCTAAGCTATCACCCTTTGCACACCCTTTCCACATTAACGGGGATTGATTACTTTTTGTATGAACGAGGATTGGATGATCGCATGGTTTTTGCATCTTCCAGCGATGTTGCCGCTTCTATGCGTGCCCGTCTTGCGTGGGATAGCCTGTCGTCTCAACCGCGCCTTTTCGGTCATCTTCGTGTGTCGTGTCATTTTCGGTGTGCATGTGAGGGCACTGGTCTTGGGAAGGTTTGTGTTGGCGTGTGTGGAGTGTGTCGGAGATTTGCAGTCAGCTGAGGAGTGGTTTGTGTGTGTCTGTGTGATGGCTTGGCGACGCCTTTAGCTTCCGACATTCGGGAGCGGGGAGGCGTTTGCAGGCGAGCAGGCAGTGCCACCTGGCCTTTCTGGTCGGGTAGGTTTCTTACATCTGACTGCTGGCTATATCACTCTTTTTCCCCTTGAAGTGTGCGCGGGGCTCCCCTTTTTTACGGATCGTTTGCGTGGAGTGTGCATTCGGAGAGAACTTGTTCGCCTTGCGTCTGAAACTCAGACTGACATGACAATGGTGCTGCTCGGAGGTTGTGTCTGAAGAAGCCTCAAATGTCTTTGAGAGGTGACAGAGTGTTAGTGTCTGTGTACCGCTGATGAGGTCGGACTCTACACGCTTGTCTGAATGATTTGAAATGGATGATTGAAACCTCCCAAGGTATTTCATGCTTTGAGGCTTTCTATGTTACTCAATGGTCAGGAGGAGACCGATGGCGTGTGATCGAAGGAAGAATCTCTCTTCCCCTCACTTATGCGATCAGTCATCGCTTGACAGAGAGACGATTGATGAGGGACGGTTGATGGTCTTTTGCAGAGAGACGTGAGAGGGACAGATAAATGCTCCACCACCCACCTGACC